CTAAAATCTAGGCAAGACTTATTGACAATATTAAGACCTATCTAGATATAACTTTCGAAGTGTAACAGTATGCAATTCGAAAAGAACAATATTGTGTTTGAATATTGTTCATATGTCAGATATTCAAAAATCAAGTGCATTGATGTTTCACTTCATAATTTATTGTATATTCTTTTGTAATTGGTCTTCGTAAGTATTAATCATGTGCGCATTCGAAGTAAATTTTTTTCTTATTTCTTTCTTATCACGATTAACACTTAAAACGATTATCCTTGTCGATTAAAAAGATGAATTTAGTAAACATTGCGAAACATCTTCTCCATTTAACTCAAATGGAATTTTTCTCTGAAGATTCAACAATAACTGCGGATGAAATTTTTGCTTCACAACCATTGTTCGAAATTTTAAAAACATTTAAAGATAGTTACTTCAATGAACTATATACTTATCAAAGTCTTGATTTTCATGATGAATACGATGAAGTTTCGGATGAAGAAGACAGCGCTGATGACAATCAATCAACTGATGAAGACAATATTGTTGATTATGATAAAAATCAATACCTGAACATCCAGAATAGTTTTACATTAGACGAGATGGAAAACATAGTGGAATGGGTTGATCGACATCCAAATTATAAATTTGCATCTATTAAGCAAAGGTTTCGAAAAGTCAAATACATGCATTACATTACAAGATTTAGAGAATATATTGAAGCAAATGGGACAAGATTAGAAAAAGTTAAAAAAATCAAAGAATTTATGTGGAGTGAATTTTATATGAAAAGAGCAATTGAAAAAGAAGCAATTCATGATAGTGATCTAGAACTTTTTGCAATTCAAAAAGCAAGAGAACTAGATTGGGATAATTTCAAAGCAAGTAATTCATTTATCAAGATGTTCAAGAAAGAATATGGAATTTCATCCAGAAGATACAACAAACTTATTACTCGCGTTTCTTCGACCAGGAACAGTTGTAGTTTAAAGGGTATGTAAAAACTTCACTTGAGACTTCAATCTATTTGTCTTAATGCGGTATATATATGTGTATTTCAGATGCTCACGACTGGATCGAAAATCAAAGATCTTTAATTTCAAAATATTCTTCTCACGAAATATTAAACAGTGACCATTGTTCATTTCAACAGGAATATATTGCTCCACGTACTCTTTCTTTCAAGGGTGAACGAACAACAGAAGTTGCTGTTAAAAAGAAGAATTATATAACACACTCTTATACCGTCCAGCCTATTACATCAGCTGATGGTCGATTATTGGCAAAATTCTTCCTCATTCTTCAAGAAAAGGAAAATGAATTCGGTAAAAGAGTAGAGAAAAATTTAATCATACCACCAAATGTCATAGTACGGGCTTCAAAATCTGGAAAAAGCAGCGATGAAAAACATCGCACTTTTTTAGATGAAGTCTTACGTCCTTTGGTTGGCAAAAAATTTCTTCTTTTCCTTGATTGTTGGACAACTCAAACTGATCTAAAAAAATTTAGAGCAGTATTTCCACATCAAGACAGTTAGTTATTGATTTTTCCTAAAGGATCAACTGGTTATATTCAGCCACAAGATCTATCTTTATTTCGTTCGTGGCGATTTATTCATGAAAAAATCGAGCATTATGTTCATATCAATCGAACAGAAATGAACTTGAACGATCGTCAATATTTCATAAATTTGCACAGTATCATCCACAATCAACTATCTGCTCCACAGTTTAAAAATCTTGTCAAGTCTGGATTCGTACAAGCTAAGATACTCAATGAAACAATTGGTGAAATAAAAAAACCAAAGGACATTTGTTTTAAATTCTATGACCTTTATTGTTCAGTTACTAATTGTGAGGAACGAACTCTTCTCGTTTGTGCTTGGTGCGAAAGACACCTTTGTTATTATCATTTGATTGAAGATCTTCATCTACATCTATAGTACATCGTTTGAAATATTATCTTGTATAGGTTATTAATTTCATGTAAATAAAGTCGATACTATTGATGAATCAACGATTTCTGTATATAACAATCAATATATTTCCTATTTGATACCATCAGATTTCAGAGGAACTTGCATCTAGATAGGTCTTAATATTGTCAATAAGTCTTGCCTAGATTTTAG